GCCTATCTTGTGATCACCATCTTACCCAAGTGTCTTACAGTACTTTGCTCATAAAATAAAACCTAAAAGAGACTAAAATAATTTTCTAAAAACAATTCTCCCTGGTTTGATTTTGGTTTTGTGTTTTGGTTTTTTTATAAGATCTTCTAAGCCACCAGAGCTCCCATAGAAGAACTTGTAATAACATGTTGTTTTTATGTGCCGTCGAGTCGTTTGCGACTCATAGCGACCCTGTGTACAACAGCCCTAAACCCTGCTCTATCCTGTGCCAATTGCATTGCCTCTGACACACCCATCCTGATTACCCCAGTCCCTGAATCAATCCACCTCATAGAGGGTCTTCCCCTCCTGCGCTGTCCCTCTACTCTACCCAGCATGATGTCCCTCTGTAAAGACCTGTCTCTCCTTACAACATGTCCAAAGTATGTCAGACAAAGCCCCAGAATCCTTGCCTTCAAAGAGTAGCCTGGTTTAACCCTCTCTAGGATGAATCTGTTTTCTTGACAGTTCATGGTACATTCAATATTCTTCTCCAGCACCACAGCTCAAAGGCATCAATTCTCCTTCTATCCTCCCTAGTCATTGTCCAATTCTCTGATGCATAACAAGTGATTGCAAAAACCATGGCCTGTATCAGGTGGACCTTACTCTCCAGAGAGACACCGTTGCTCTTGAGTACTTTAGAGAGGTCCCTAACAGCAGACTTTCTCATCGCAATACATCTTAATTATATTGATCCTTATAGAATGTAAGTAAGCTCTGATGGCCTAGAGTTGCAATGTCAACCCAAAGGCACATAGTTCAAATCCACCTGCAGCTCCATGGGGGAAAGATGGGCAACCTCCTCCTATGCCATAGATTAACAGTCTCTGAAAACCCACTGGAGGGTCAGCTTTTAGTCAGTTCTGATCACACAGCACATAACAACAACAAACCCAACATAAGGAGATTATTCTGATTCTTCACTGGGTTCCATTGTTTCAGCTCTAGTAGATTTCTGTCAAACTGCACCAGAAAGGAAATTATCGTTTAGATGTTTTCAAATATGGGCACGCACTGGATTACCTCCGTCTGTGTGGCTCAACCCTCACTTTGTGCTCTTTGTAATATTAGGCATCTGCCTTACCACTCGCCCCCTATCTAGCATCACACTTCTGTCATAGCACTTAATTTACATGCTGTGTGGCAATAGTTTAGTTGCATAAATCTCCTTGACTTGCTGGTAGAGCTGCAGCCATTCTTACCAGTACCTATTCCCATCCTGCACGAAAACACCTTGAGTCTTTGTGTCACCAGCCCAAACTCATTTCCAATCAAATTACTTTTAACCCCTAGCAATCCTACAGGACTGAGTAGACAGGGTAGAACTGTCAGGTTTTCTCCGCAGAGCTCCTGTTGTTGATGCCACTGAATCACATACAACTCCTAACGATACAATGAGCAACACATTGGAACCTGCTCTATCGCATACCATCCTCGTCATCTCAGCTAGTTACTGTGTCAGTCCATCTTTTTTGAGGGTCTTCCTTCTCTTTAGCTGACCCTCCACCTTTATAAGCATGATGTCTTTTTTCCCAAGGACTGGTCCCTCCTAACATCATGCCTAAATATGTGAGACAGAAATTCACCATCTTTTCCTCCAAGGAGAACCCTGGTTGCACTTTCTCCAAGACAGACCTGTTTGTCCATGTTGTTGGGTAGATTCAAATGGACGACTTTTGGTTAGCACATCGCACCACAAAGGTTTCTTTAATTTTGCCGAATATAGCTGAGGAAATAGCTGAGTATAGCCTGGTGTATCTCCCAATAAGACTGGAAAATACTGAGTTAAAACATAAAAAACACATTTTGATTAAGCTTATGGTGTGAGAATGTCAAGCTATTGTTAGGATTTCTACCCTTTCCTTCTTTCGATGACCATTTTATTGAGTGCCTGCTCTACGCACCAGCCACTTAGTGG